TCAAACACCGATCGCTTAACGAACAAGAGTTTAGGACTCAAGACATCCGAATGACTCAATTGGAACCGCCGCAGGAAGAAGAGGAACAGATTCAGGACACAAACAAAGACAACAATACGGCCAATGAGTCCCAGAAAGAGACTACTGATAAGGACAACGATAAGGATGAGACCACCAAAAAGACTGAGACCCGTAAGTCGAGCCCAAGCGACAAATCCTCCTCTTCTTCATCGTCGTCGTCGTCCTCGTCGTCATCATCTGATTCTTCGTCGTCGAGTGACAGCGATAGCGACGACGAAGAGGCGCGCCGTAAGACCAAAGAGAGCGCCGCCGCCATCTTTGGAAGCGATGACAGCGATTAAATTTATAGCGATTTATTCATTTCAGTTCTTTTATTTACATTTTTTGAAAAACTGTATATTTTTAAGTCTTATTTCAATTAAAAATTACGTTAACTTTATTTTAATTATTCGTCGATTACTTTCGATAAATTCCTAATCATTTGGTCTTCGAANCGTCGATTACTTTCGATAAATTCCTAATCATTTGGTCTTCGAAATAGTGGTTCTAAACGAAAAATAAACGATAATTTATTTTAAAAACGATAAATACATATCAGATTCGCGGAAAACATACTGAATGGCTGTCTTCTGTCCGCCTGTGAGCACAACATATGGTAATTGAAGTTCTTTTTGCTTATCGGTTAGCATTCGTAATGTGTTGAGCGGTGTATCGGTTGAACTCATTTGCCGTAATTTCTATTACAAAACCAATAAAAACACATTAATTGCAAAACAATGGATAGAATGGTGGCAACTGTGGGTCACATACGCTCTGTTGGTCTTTCTTTTTCATGCGTTTATCGATTTTATTCTTCGACGGACCCTTTCCATGGAATTTGTGGGACAAATGCCTGAACGCCTCCTTCTGGTCGAGAACCCTTCCCTTCTCGTCGACGTAATCCAATTTGATTTCAGGCTTATAATCATTCTTCTCTCTAAAGTCAGATACGGGTCCCGAATATCGTTCCCTTCGACCTATCTTATCGTCTTCGCTATTGTTTATAAACACAATTCATTAAAACAGTTAATAAAATATTACAAACTTTTCAAAACTTACTAATATTTCTCTTCAATACTATAGGACTGAGACTCGATAGCGCTCTGTCGCGAAACGCTTTGTTTCTTAATCTCTTATAGGTTTATAGGGAAAAAGTACCGATTGACTTCCCGCGCGACCAGTCCTCGGCTAACATCGGGCTCTTCCTCGAGAATAGGCTGTCCCTCGTTATCATCCAAATCGGGTGCGATGTCATCGTCTCTGACCTCTACTTCATTCCATTGACCTCTAGTCGGGTCGGAATCATGAACACGCGGTTCATTAATAACCTCTTCTTCTAATTCCATAAGCTCTTCGTCTTCATCCCGATTACCCGCCAAACCATAGGTCGGAATATCACCCAAATTGCGACAAAATTCTGCCGTAGAGTTCAATATAATGTTATTGGATATTAGATTGTCATTTGAATCATTGGGGTCTTCGTCCACATTCTGATTAAGTCTGTGAACAGTTTGCGCCACTTTCGCAATACTGGCCGCACCCGTCGTCGCCTCTATATTGGTTCTAATCTTCAATTTGCGTGACTTATGTAAAGCCATTTGGAGCTCTTTGTCGGCCTCGTCTTCTTCTAAAACAACACCACTTAAGTCCTGATCTCTCGGATCAAAAAAGTCTTCATTCACTTCCATGTCTTCCAAACGAAGTGTACTTTTGGCCACTATTTTTGGCTTATCGTCCGGTATTTCTTCCTTAACTAGACTTAAATCGGGTTCATTGCCATTGTCTTCAGTGGTCTCTATATTGGGACGCTTTCTGGAGCCGTGATCTGCGCTTGCGGTCAGATTTGAGACCAAATCATCATTTGTTTCAATTACTTTCTTGACTCTCATTCCTCCCTTTTTGCGCACTTTTTTAGGTTTTTTAAATTTAGTCATCTCTTCTTCAGTGAAGTATTCGTTTGCAATCTTTGGTCTCGTCGTGAAGAGTGATATCTTTCCCTCTTCTTGTTTCAGTTTCATTCTAATCATTTCGATATCATTGGATCGGTTCCCTGAAGTGACTCCCAATTTGAACGACTCCTTCTTCGGCCCTTCGATCTCTTCGTCGTATTTCGAAAGCAATGACTTCTTCTTCAGAATCCCGAACTCATCCAACTCTGGCTCGTCGTATGGCTTATAATCAGGTCTTTTCGCTTTGTTCTCAATATTGAGTTTAGCCTTCGAGTCGTCAATCATATTCACGTTTTGCAACACATCCTCGTCTTCGTCCAACACATCCTTGTCTTTAAGGGTTAGCACTACTTGTCTTCCCTCTTGGAATTCCTCTTCTTTGTGGCCAACAGTGAGGCCTTTCAGATGTTTAGACGAATAAGCGGTCGCTTTCTTTCGTCTTAAATCCTCTTCAATGAGTGACGAGACGCCGAACTCTTCGTCCATCTCTTCCAGCATTTGTGCCCTTTTCTGTGCCCTCGCCTTCTCTTCTGCAAGTTTGCGAGTCTTCATAATCCAATCGGTGGCGTCTTCTTCGCCATCACTCTCTGCCAAACCCTTAGTATGTCTCAGCTTTTGAGTGATTTTGCGTTTATTCCTCTGGACCTCAATCTTTTCCCTTATCTTTTGTGCCTCTATTTTATCACTCATTTTCTCGGTCTTAACAAACACTTCGACGGTTACCATCTTATCGGTCGCCGGTTTGTCTTCACCTGTACTCACATCCAATGGTTTTAGTCCTAATTTGAGCCGTAATTTGCTATAAAATACATTAAAAACAAACATTTAATAACAAAGTAATGAATTAAACACTTCGTTAAATCAATTGAATGCATACTTTGTCTCTTCAATGGACAGCGATTCCGCTTTCGAGGCATCATTTGGTGCCGACTCTACAAATTCAAGAATAAACAAATGAATCAACAAATCAACGGATCAGTTGATGTGATGTTCAGACATACCATCTTTGGTGTGTTGTGTATCTCTTCTATTGGTTCTGTCGTTCACTTCAGAACTCTTTTGATCTAATTTTAGTGTTTTATTAACTGAAGAATTACTACTTTTCGAGACATCCTTTACTTCCTTTACCTTTTGTTTTTTATCACTTCTGAGGTCGTCATCGGAGGTATTGTCAGGTCTTTGTCTCTTACGGGAACCGCTGGACGACTCTTTGTCTTTGTGTCGATGACTGGAGCGATGGTTTCGATCGCTTTTGTCGCCGGACTTCTCGTACTTGTCCTTTGACTTAGATCTCGATCGAGACCTCTCTCTGTCTTTGTCTCTGTGTTTACGCGAAGAACCCATCGATCGGTTCAATACTAAACAGTCAAACGATTTGATTGTTTCACTGATTTATATAACAATCAATGGATTTATGGTTTGTTTTCTTCAAAACACCACTCAATTCATTAAAGCAACGATTTTTATAAACTGTTCGCAACAAACGTTACGCTTTTTAAGGGAGAATCTAAGGGCAAACACAGCCCCCAAACAGTCATACTATGCCTTATTCTAAGCACAAACACCTCTTTTATTAAACATTAGTTTTTGTATTTATGAATAACGATATATAGGAATAGGATTTCTACTAAAGTGTACAACAGATGGCATTCATAATGAATTGAATGACAAAAACACATGACTTTTGACAACAATTTAGTATTTGTTTTACATTTCAAACTAAGTTTTCATTAAAATTGCATTCAATTTAAAACAAGGCTTTGATTACAAGAAAAATGTTGACTAAATTAGTGACAAACAGATCAGTGATACGACGGGTGGGCCGAGTGTTGCGGCCAATGGGTGTGAGTGGAAGTGCTGAGAGATGTTGTTTGCATTCTTCGGCGGTGAAGTCGTTTCTGGTGCCGATAGTTGTGGAGCAGACGGGAAGAGGTGAGCGATCGTATGATATCTACTCTCGACTCCTGAAGGAGCGGATCATTTGCCTGATGGGAGGCATCAACGACGAGATGTCATCCCTAGTGGTCGCTCAGCTGCTGT